GAGCACATTCAGAAATAGTATATGTTATTATCCAGTAGTATCCCAAAATGTTTTTAGTTACTTTTTGTTGTTTATTAATGTTTTTCATAGAAATGTAAGTAATCCTTTTATCTCAGCAGTATATTCTTATGGGATGAAATAAAACTAGAAAAAGATTCCTTTGTGTTTTTCCTCATAGGCATTGCTTATTTTTCTTTCAAATATGATTTTGTTCACATGCCAGCCTGCATTGAGAAGAGGGACCTAACCACTTGCTGGTCCGGGTAGGGAAATGCAGCCTCTTAAATCTAGCTGGAAGAGTAATGTGAAGCCCAAATTTTTAACCAGAAATTTTTAAAAACAGAAGACCATGGCTGTCATAATTATCACTTATTTTGCATATGTCTTTTTACATACTTATAAGTACTATTCTAACTGTATGGCTTAAAATGTATTCTGGCCATTATAATGACTCTTTATCAGAATGGAAGTATGTGTATTATGTTGTAGTCCCATCATATACAAGTGAAATCAAATAAAAGTTAAAATTTCAGTCGCATTCCTGAGTAAGTGGGTGATCTTGGCATTTGTCATACCCATTATAAACAATGATTTCCTTTTCTAATATGAACTCCAAAAAGAATGAAGTAGGAAGACCACAGCATCAGAATCCTAATCTGGTTAATGGGGAGACATTAAATGAAACAGCTTATGGTTGAAAGATGCTGTGTTTGTCATCATCTGCTTTTCAAAAAAGGGAAACCCATAGTGCAAGAGCCAGTGCACTCACAATCTGGTGTATACTTCAGCTTGGCTGCTTTTGAGCTGTGTTTCTACTTAGACAGGAAGATAGACATTATAGGACTTGTTAATTTGTTTGATAAGTGATGTATCAATGTCGGTTTTAATTGTAGGCAGGCAACTTATTTTCTGTGCTTTTTGATTTTCAGAAAATTGTGCATTTGTGGTTCAAGATTTCTTAGTCGCTAGCACATTGAATTCTATACCGTACCCAAATCAGAATTCCATATTTCTTTTGTAAGGGATGGGGAAAATATGCTAACTACATTCTTCAAAATTCATAAAAATAAACTATTTTACTGATTCATAACAAGAAAAACTTTAGCCTTTTAACAACAAAACTAGTATTTACTCATCCTAATTTGGGAACTCATACATAGCCTGTCCGAGTTTACTTTTACCTTTTTTTCAAACTATCTGTTTATTCAAATATTCTTTAAGTACTTATTACCTAGGGTGTTTGATTACATACATTTGCTCATTGGTAACGTGACCTTTTGGAGCAGTGAGGCAGGGCTCAGAATTGAATCTAGGGCCTCCCATATGCAAAACTCATACTCAAGCATTGAGCTACATCCCAGCTCTGTTTTTGTTTTTTTACTTACATACATTTTCACACGGTTTAACCTAATGTAAACATTTATTAAATGCACTGCTGGGTCAGGTCTGTGTAAACTGGATTAGTCAAGACAACCCTGCCTAACTCCCTGTATGAAGAGAAGTGTAAAACCAGATAACATAGTGCTTATTTGTAGAAAAACACAATGACTTAAATGACCTCACCTATACAAATGAGAATGTTCTAAGTGCTGTAAATGTGTGATCAGAACTCCACCAACCTCTGTGAAGCTGTTTCCAACCATTGAGAGATCTTCCACATTGACATGGACTTCAGCTACTGTCTAACTTGCATTGGTGGCCAGATAGTGAGGTACACACTCACACACCTCCACTGTTTTGGAAAACTTCCTACTGCTGTATGAGATTAAAGTTTTACCATTCTCTTTTAATATCTACCTCAGAAGCTAATTCCCTATGGCAACACAGCACATGGCTTTGGGTTCGTAGACAATGAAAGGAAGGTAAAAATTACTTCAAGAATGAACTTCTACACATGGGGATTTCATCTCTTACAAGCAAATCCTACTTAGGTAAATGGTGGGATAACTGTATTTCTTTGGTACTTAATTCTTTCAAGTCCTTAAACCACATAAGCCAGAGGTGAATTCCTTAAATGTTTTTATTTCATCATACAGCATACCCAGTGCTAGTTTCTGACATCAGAAGATGGATATACCATGGCCAAGTTTTCAAGTTATTCTGAAGTACACTTTAGCCTAAATACTTCTTTAAATGCAAGAGCCAGTGCATTCACAATGTGGTGTATACTTCAGCTTGGCTGCTTTTGAGAGGTGTTTCTACTTAAACAAGAAGATAGACATTATAGGATTTGTTAAATTTGTTTAATAAGTGATTTATCAATGTAATTTTTGATTTTAGGCAGGCAACTTATTTTCTTTGCTTTTTGATTTTCAGAAAATTGTGCATTTGTGGTTCAGGATTTCTTAATGGCTAGCACATTGAATTCTGTACTGTACCCAAATCAGAATTAAATAAGTGAAATACACTCTCTTTCTTCCATTCATGTTGTTATCACTTAGTAAGCTCCTACTAATATCAGGCATTTTCCTAAAAACCATGAAGAAAAAAATAGAACAGAGTGAGAAAAATGGTACAGAAGAAAATGTGATTAACTCTGGGTAGGAAATGAGATAAGAAAATACTTTTATATCTAGATTATAAATGATAAAAAAGAGTATAATAGGCAGACCAGGCAGACCAGGCAGGGAAGAGACTTCCATGCAAAGAAGCAGCAACAACAGGGATGGAAGGCATAAAGTAGAGCATTAAAAATAGTAATCTATACCTGTAAAAAAGATTTAGCATAAAAATTAAATATGTCACTTCCTTTAAAAAGTACTGAATGGAAAAGCATCATATTTACATTTAAGAAAAATTATTTCCTTAACAGTTGTTGTCTGGTTTCTTTGGGTGATAAAGTGTGGTGCCTGAATTTGGTACCATTCTAGGCTTCTGTGATGTTAATTAACAGTAGTGGGTCTTAAGTTTTAAAAAATATGAAACCTTGCACTTGAGAAGATTACAGACATGAACTTTTTTGGCATTTGGGAAAAGATTGTTAATTCTGTTTATCAACAGAATACCATTATTGTTCAGTAATGTAGTTTGAATATATCCATCAAGTGAACAGCCAGCCTGTGTGGGAAGATTTAGGGCTCCCTGTCTTTCGTAACAGGCGTATCCTTTAGAACGCTACTTCCATATGTCAGCAACTCTGGCTTCCTTTAATTGAGCTGAAACCTCTCTCCCTGTAACTTAAACTCACTGCCTCCTGTTCTAACTCTTGAATACAGTCATGAAAATCATGACCTATTTCTTAGAATTTTCTGAGGAATAGTGCATAAAAATCATTTTGGTGTGCTTTGCATTATTTTAAGACCAGTTATAAACAGTAGTTAATGATGTATCTTTATATTACCTCTAGTAAGAAGATGATAGAGGGATTGTTGATGATTTGTTTCATATAGGACAGGGTAGGAATCTTGGACTGTGGGTCTCCATAGACAGACCCTCAGTTTGTTTATTTCTGCCTAACTGTATTTGCACTTTGCTTTCCCTATGTTTTGTATTTTAGTAACAATAGGGGTTAGAAGAGTAGTTCATTTTAAGTAGAAACAAGACCACAAGTAAAAGCAGAGGGAAATGCAGTAATACAGCAGTATGTTTCCTGAAGGAATATGAGACTAGATAACAAAAAAAATTATGATGAAATTAAAAGAGAAATTTTATTTTAGTCCTTGAGACTGAAGAGAAAAAGAGAAACATCAACTGTAGTGGTGCAGGCCTGTAATCTCCAATAGAAAATTAGTAGAATCATTTGGTCTATAAAATTGTTTTTTGATTATTTTTTAATTGAAGCTCTAGTTTAAGACCTGGACAAAGAGCTTTAGGGAAATAAAAACTTCATTTCTTTTCTGTGTCCTTTCTAACATAAAATATTTCCAGTGATAAAGTGATATGCTTGATATGGTAGTTTAAAAGAGAGTTGCTTGTGTGTGCGTGGTTGTGTGTGTGTGTTAGGAACACTTGGGAGGCTGAGGCAGGTGGACCACTATGAGTTGGAGGCAGCCTAGGCTACATAGTGAGTTCAAGGCCAACCTGCACCACATCGTGAGATCTTACCTCAAGGGAAAAAAAAAAAGAAAGAGGAGCAGAAAAGAGTACCAAAGGACACGTGCTCTTTCTTACATACTCTTAAATGTGTATACATATGTATGCTTGTGTATATATGTTTGTCTAATGTGTGAGCTATATATTTTATATAATACACTTGTACCTAAATATAGACAGGTAAAGTGCATGTGATTCTATCAGCTGTCCATTAAATGGTAGCTACTGATCGATACCATTTCCATGTCCCTTGTGTTCTGTTGCCTAAAGTGGCAGGTGGAGTCCACTGTGATTCAAACTGTGAATGTTTTTATCTGATTAAGCCTGACATGCTAACCTCAGCAACTAAGCAGCTATAAAATGTGTTAGATCATCATACCAAAAGTGAGGATTACATCGTTTACCTGCCTTCTATTTTGGGGATGTAGAGAAAAAAAAAATCTAGAAAAACATGATTTTAAAGCAAATTAACATGATGACCAAGAACAGTGATACTATCTATAATTTCATCATATCTAATAGAAAATTAGTAGAATCATTCAGTCAATAAAATTGTGTTTTGATTATTTTTTAAATGAAACTCTAGTTTAAGACCTGGACAAAGGGCTTTAGGGAAATAAAAACTTATTTCTTTTCCGTGCCCTTTTAAACATAAAATATTTCCAGTGATAAGTTAAAGTGATATGTTTGATATGGTAGTTTAAAAGAGGGTTATGTGTCTGTGCGTGTGTGTGTGAGACTTCTATGTCTGTACCTGCTGTAAGGCTTACCCAGTTTTTCTACTTTGAACAGTTTCCATTTTAATTCAGCACAATAACTTTCAAAATAAGAATATCTAAAATTTGCTTTTCTATCTGTAAAACGATAGATTGTAAAATAGATTGCTTTTTTTAAAAATCACTTCCTAAAACCCGCAGAAGTACATATCCACCCTCCCACTCCTTGGGGGACAGAAAAAAATGAATTACCTAGCTTGGTAGATCACATTGCTTCTCCCAACACGTAGATTGTCTTCACATAGTGCTATTGAGAGTGGGGAGTGAGTAGGAAGGGTGGCTGTTGTTTAATGCTCTCCAGCAAAAGAGCAGAGGGAGGAGTGGATTGAGTTTGACTGGCACTGGCTCTGGCTTTTCTGCATTCCAAACTGTCTGAGGCACAGAGTGAGAGCAAAAGGGAGAAGGGAGCATATGAGAGCAAGCACAGGGGAGTACAGAGTGAGTTTCTGACTGGCATGCCGGCAAGATCATGTTAGCAGTACCCAGAAATTTCACAGAATGCAGACTCCAGGTAAGAGTTACTACAATCTGAGACTGATATTACAAGTTTGTATATATTTAAAGGAATGTGTTATTGTGCAAATGCAGTAATTATTTAACTTTGTGGTTATCCATTTCTTAAAAAAATAGATGGGTTCTCATTACCGTGTGTTCACAGAAATAACTGGAAACTTCAAGCATTCTAGTACAAAATCCTGCACAAGAACAGCCATCTGAGATTAAAAGGATGATAAGCATAGTAAAATACTAACACTGTAACATTCACTTGTTCTTTTAATAATATGAAGTGGATTCCTTTTCTCAATTCCTTTTCTGAATCAAATTTCCATATGAAATATAAAGATACCTAGTAACTAATGGAGCTCATTTCTTTCTGAAGAAGACAGAGCGTCTTATCATCAATAAGGTTTTACCAGTGCTTCTCAATAGTTTCAATAGTAAGTAACAAATCGGTGTCATTCACAAGGTTCAACAGGTTGGATCCATAGACAACAGAAAGAGCATTCAAATAAGAACTTTGCTTTGTTCTATTTGCCGTTGGTAGACTTTAATATCATGTGCCAGTAGATAACAAACTAGAAACTTGAACTGATTGACTCATTGAAGATTAAATCTTAAATCGACTTCAGAGATTATCTACAGTTCATTCTTTCCATTTTCAACAAGAAACTTTAAGATCTGAGGGGTTTAGTACTTGCTCAAGATCAGAGTAAGGAACAAGATTGAAATAAAAACCCCAATTCCTTGTTTGTGTTTTTTTTTTCATGTTACAAATTATATTTATACTTTATATTTTATCTATACTGTGTTTGAATTAGACAATCTGCATTATAAACCTAGACTGAAACATTTTAGTAAAGAGATGGTGAGGAATAGCTGTGATCAAATCAGTATTGATACATGGTCCTGACCCAAACCAAAAATATATAAAACAGATTTATCCTGAGGGACAAATGGCTTTCAGTTAAGGAAAATCACTGAGTTTGTGTCATGCTTTTATATAAATTATTTGGCATAGCATATTCAGAATATCAGTATTTCTGAAGTTACAACTCAACTTTATTTTATTTTAAAGACTTTACAACTTAACAGTCTCTGTATTGTTAGTAAACAATTTCTTATATGTAAATACCCATTTTTGTACTTGTAACTTTTACTGAAATCCAAGTTTTCTATAGTCACTGCCCTCCATTACTTTAAAAAAGTATGAAGTAACATTTTAAAGCATTTAATTATTTAGATCAATTGCTTCCTTATCCAAGATCTAATTCTGTTTCTCCACATTTAGAAAAGTCCTCTGTTACTTCACCTCATGAATTAAGTGTTAGAGGATAACTTAAGTGGGGGATCTTGAGAGTCACAACAAACAGTGAACATCTGTCTTCATACATTTTCATTTAGTCTCTAAAAAAGGTTTCTGCCCTTTCCGTTTTTCTGGAGACCATTGTGGTGAGGAAAGAGGCCACGCTATTCTTATGAGCTAAGCAGTAAAGATAGCCACTGTCAAAAGGATCTGTCATGGCTCTTTACAACTCCTGGGAACAAGTCAGCCTGATTTGGCTATAAGCACAGTGAAGGGATGTTGTTCTTTTGTATTAAAACCTGACCTGCTCATTCCAGCTTTTTGCTGGGTCTGTGTTAAGTGTAGTACTGATTTACAAGTCTGTGTGAGATGGGCGGTAAATTGTAAGAAATAGTTTCAGTATTGCTCTGGGCTATCTCAGAAACCAAATTGCAAAGTGAATTCCCCCCAGTAGGAAACAAGAGACTGTTTGTCTTACTGGAGAATCATTATTTAAGCATACTGTTTATAAAGAGGACTGATGACTGTGAGAATGAGGACATAATGCCCTATCCAACTTGACAGTACTCATGTTGTGTTGCAGAGGACTTAGAGTTGTCTCTTAGTTTATATACTGCTTTAAATATGCAAAAGGACTGCCATGTTATATGTATGTCTAGTATATTACATTACATGATAGAGATAAAAATAAAGATGGGGCCTTTGGCCTGAGTGTATTTCCTGATGCTAGGAACAATCAATAGTCATTAATAAATAGGTGTTATTTTACTGACTTACATTGAAAGGAAATAATTAGCCAGCCTAATCATTATAAAACTCACTACCATGCATTAGAAAGAGAAAAATATTAGGAAACAAATATTTCCTTTCTCTGTTGAATATGATTCAGATTTTGTAGGTTTATGCTTCCTGGGGTAAAGAAAAGCAGTAACTGATGCCCACTTTGTGACTAAAGACAGTTTTTTTTCTTTTTTCTTTCTTTTTTTTTTTTTTTGGAGAGAGGGTCGTACTATTAGTTCAGACTGGCATTGAACTCACTATGTAGCCAGGCTGGCTTTGACCTGTGGCAATCCCTCTGCTTCAGCCTTCTGAGTACTGGGATTACAGGTGTGCTTCCCCACACCCACCTTATAGACAGTTTTTAAATGGGAGTGGAGTAAGCAAAGTAAAATGAGTATGATGAAAAAAGAAACTATGTACATAGAGTAATTTACTTGTAACAGTATTTCCTTGAGGGGAACCCATTTTTATTACTCATTAAGTGTTTTCTATGAAATACATACACCTCCACATAATTTATATATTAAATTTTGAAAGATAGTAACAAGCTCTGTGATACAGTATAACATTTTTCTGATAAATATTTGGATACAGTTGATCAAAAAGATTCAAAGGAGTTATTTCTCCTTTTCTTCTATAATTTCTTTCTACCTTTTGTGTATAATTATGTTTTATATTCTAGTGAAATCTCCTCAAGCAAAACATGAAGGCAAAAGGCCGGGGGCAATGACTTGACATGGGACATGTAAAACACTGAGTTGTCATAGTTTTTTATTCCTGAAACTTACCTGGTTATACACTCCAAACTGCAAGAGCTCCATTGTGTAGACAACATGGTTGTGTTTCCTCTTCTGCTCCCAGTTTTGACCTTGAGCCTTCTCTAAAAAAGGAAAAGTATGTGTTACAGACTCTTCGTTCTCTTCTTTTCATGCTCTCTAGTGCTATTATTATTTTCAATTGTCTCTGTATCAGTTCTAGTGAAAAAGCAGGTGACTGTGAAATAAGTTTCACCTCATTCTTACCTTTGAGTTGCATAAATTTTCCTAAATATGATTCTCAGCGTAGAATCACAGGAAAAAAATTGCATCCCATTGTCCTGTCATTCCTACTGAACAGTGATCTAAGAAAATGAATCGTGATTCAGCAGTATGAATTCTGTTATTGCTGGTGTTGTTCTAAGTGCTAATGATTTATCAGATTCCTCATTTAATTGTGAATATGGCCTTCGCTTGTGTGGATGGAATACTTAAGCATTGCCGTTGGGAATACCTCCTTTGTATGTACTTGACAAGAGAGACTTACTGCATCAGCAATTAAAATTCAAAATAAAGGTCTTTGTCTTCTCTAGTACCTTTCTTACCTCTATTCTGACCCTACTATTAAGCCAGAATTGGAAGTAGTACTATGAATTTACGTAAAGAGGGAACCAATGAGAAGATTGTGCCAGATATTTTACAGAATAGTTTGACTATGAAACTGTACATTTCTGTTCTCAGATTGGCAGTATTTTATGAGTAAATGAATTGCTGAAATAGCACCTTGAAAAATTAGTTTAGATTTGTACAGTCTTGTTCTTTCAGAATAAAAAATAACCATCTGGTTCTGGTTGCTCTTTCTTATGTTGCATCTTAGAAAGTAAGCAACTCGAAGAGCCATTGTGGAGTGGGTGTCATTCAGATCAGGTGTCACTGAGGAGAGCCAACCTGTTGAACAAGTTGCTCATTCCAGTATCTTAAAAAAACATAGCGAAATTGTTGTATAGTTAACTATTCATAGACTACCTTTGCTTATATGAAAACTAGAAAAACTATAACTTGTTTTGCTAAAATTCTTCTAATGAATTTTGTATGGTTGATTTGATTTGTAGTCTTTCGAATAAGATAGGAAATATAAGATATTTGGATTCCTGCTTTAGTAGTTCCCATTTTCAGAAACATCTAGAATAGTAAATAGTAAATTTCAGGTACATAAACAAAATGGAATAAGAAAGGAGAAGTGATGTGTTACAGTGAGTGCAAGAAAAGCCACAAGAAAATCTAGCCTATGTGAGAATATGGACTTAGATTTGTTCAAAGGACAGTAAAGGTAGGCTGAATCTACTAACAGGGAAGGGCAATCTTCTCTTGTGTACCAAGTGCTCATTTCTAAGAGTTTGCTCAGTGTGGTTATAGGATACTTCTTATCAGCATTGTTTTCAAAATATGAGAAACTAAATATGTGATAAGGGAATTGCATCACATAGTATTTGGTCTGCATTTTTGTTTGTCTCTGTTACATAACTGTAGTTTAAGGAAATTTTTAATGGATCAAATCTTTATCTTTCACATAATTTGCTAGATATATCCTGAAATTTCCCTTGAAGCCTTTTGCTTCCACTTGATGTTCACTGAATTGTCCGTGTTTTTTCCTGAAACAGTAAACATAATATTTTGAGTAGCGTCATTTTACTTGTAAATATTTGCACAGCTATAACTGATGAAATTTTGAAATGTTTTTATTATTTTTAGTTTTTCTCTTTCCATTTCTTCTTAGAACACTCAGTAAATACTTGATGATCAAATTTTACAGATTAAATTTTCCAAAAAGTAGCTTTCCCCCATATATTGTAGCCTATACCATGATCTTACGATTTCTAAGAAGTGATGTAGATTGTCTTTATTAATTTTTTAAAAATGCTATAAAGAAAAGA